GGAAACAATGTCAAAATAAGTATTAAAAACCATTTCAGGTTTCTATTCAACAAGGTTGGGTGGATAGGGCCATGATATCTGAAGATTCTGAGAATATGATGTTGGTTTATGGCGACACATCAGACCAGAGATCTTTTTCCTTGGATGACACAAGCAGCACCGAGGAATCACCTGAGCAAACAAATCTCTCTTTGGAGACCAGGGACGATTTGGCCCCATACAAGGGACAAAGATTCCCAACCCATGATGCTGCTTATGAATTCTACACCGAATATGCAAAACGGTGTGGCTTCTCGATCAGACGACACAGAACGGAAGGAAAAGACGGTGTCGGAAAAGGACTCACCAGGCGCTACTTTGTCTGCCACCGCGCCGGGAAAACGCCAGTCAAACCTTCAAGTGAAAATAAACCTCAAAGAAACAGAAAATCCTCTCGGTGTGGGTGCCAAGCATATATGCGTATAAGTAAGAACTCTGACCTTGCGGTTCCACAATGGATAGTGACCGGTTTTGCAAACCACCACAACCATGAACTCCTTGAGCCAAACCAAGTACGTTTCCTTCCTGCATATCGCACCATTTCTGATTCAGACAAGAGCCGAATCCTAATGTTTGCCAAAACAGGGATCTCTGTTCAACAAATGATGAAGCTTTTGGAGCTTGAAAAATGTGTGGAGCCCGGATATCTTCCATTCACAGAGAAGGATATTAGAAATTTGCTTCAGTCCTTTAGAAAGGTTGACCCCGAGGATGAAGGCATTGACCTGCTGAGAATGTGTAGAAACATTAAGGAGAGAGACCCATACTTCAAGTATGATTTCACACTCGATTCTGACAATAGGTTGGAAAACATTGCTTGGTCATATGCCTCGTCCATCCAGTCATATGAGATATATGGTGATGCTGTGGTTTTTGACACAACACATTGCTTGACGGCTTTTGACATGCCTGTGGGAATATGGGTTGGAATGAACAATTATGGTATGCCGTGTTTCTTTGGCTGTGTGCTTCTACGAGAAGAAAACATGAGATCATTTGTATGGGCATTGAAGGTAAAAAAAGGGAACTATAATTCATGGTAGTATTATGTGGAAATTCTACTTTTTCTAACAAACATGGACCGCTTAAACTGGTTTGGTAAGGGAAATGATAAAATGCTAAAAAGTGGCTTTTTAATGTTTTATTTTATTTTAAAAAATATGGGAAAACAAATCAAGTTTGTGTTTATTTATTTTTACATATTTTTAGATTTCTTGGTCAAATTTTCTTTCATTCTTTCCTTTTTTTTGCATAGCATTTTCTGGACTCCAAGTGGACCACTATGCTAATAAGCCATCTTTATATTTAGAAATGGAATATGATTAAAGTTTAACAAAAAATATTTTCACGCATTACATGTTTATATTTCTTTGACTTTATATATTACATAGTAATAGAAATAGACAATTAACTTAAGGTTTAGTAAATTTAGAGTTTGAGTACATATTTTATTTTCCACACATTTTCTTTCCTTCCATTTTCTTTTCCTAGGAATTTCCAGGTTCCAAACGGGCCATGATGTGGCTCAGAAGTAAGGATAAATGTTGATAAAACTTTGTTTTTTTGTTTTTGAATGTGGAAGGCATTTTTGGGGTTCATGAATGGGAAAGTCCCACAAACCGTGTTGACTGACCAAAACATGTGTCTGAAGGAGGCAATTTCAGTGGCTATGCCAACAGCCAAGCATGCTCTCTGCATATGGCTTATTGTTGCAAAATTCCCTTCGTGGTTTAACGC